GGCACTAACAGCACGGTTAGGATGGACAGAAGCAGCACATTTTTAGGTATCACAGTCCCCTTCTTCAGTCCTGCAGTTGGGTCGAGGACAGGCTCTGGCACGGCAGTGCTGAGAGCACTTTGGCAAAATTGAGGCTCAGTGAGGCCTCAGCTTCTAGCAGGCTTCCCCACACCTCTGCTCGCAGCCTTAGTCTAACAATGTTGTTTTGGCTAAGTTCCCCCATTCCCTGTTCTTACCAGCACCTCGCTACCGTCCGGCCTCCACTGCGAGAAGACTGCAGCCAGTCTGTGATCAGAACCTTGCAGGCGAGCACCGGTGCAGAAATAACATGCAGCTATGGTTCCCTTGATTACCCTTAAAGTGCAAAAGGCAGCTCCCATTACAATGCCTGTAATTATGGCCATCCAGTCAGCTAAGAGGTAGGAGACCAAGCTGCGGCCTGAGCTTGCCTATCATACCCTAAAGGTCCCCCACCCAGTAGTGCGGCACCACGCAGGTCTCACCAGCTGGGGAGGGAGATGGTGGGTCTGACTGGCAGCAGGTCTGGAATTGGTGCGGGTTCTCTCACCTTTGCCCTCTGGCCTGTCCCCTCGGGCAGACGCCTGATGCAAAGGCACCTGGTAGGAGCCAGGTACCAACACCTAGGGGTGGGGCTGAAGACCGCATTCTGTGTAATTTGGTCTGGTTCAGGCACTCCTCTTCCTTGCCACAGCGGTAGAGGTTTTGGGGGTTATGGCAGCGCCAAGCCTGGGAAAGGACCCGTGCTGGGAACAAGCGCTCGTACAGCCCTGTCACGGAATCGGATTTTGCGCAGCTCTGCACGACACAACGGGGTGCTTGCTGCGGTGCTGCCTGATGCCTGCTAGCACTTCCTAGGAGGAGGGGTGACCTGCCTAGGTGGTGCGTCCTGCTTCTGCTGCCCTGCCCCGTGCGCGAGGCTGGGACGTGCGGGGAGTGGTACCGGCCCCTGCCTGGTGCTGAGGACGGCGGTGGCGGACGGGGAGGGCAGAGCTTGCAGTCCCGGTCCCTCCGCCCGCCCCCGGGGGCAGAACCAGACCCAGCGCGCACTGCCCTGTGGCCGGGCCGGGCCGGGGTGCGTGGTGCGGGCGGAGCCGGGGGCGGGACACCGGGTGCTG